CCCATTATCCCCACATTTACTATTGGGGGGGGGGGTTGTGGCAATCTTCCAAGAAAGTGGGGCGCCCCCCCCCCCCCCCCCCCCTTTTTGGCCCCCCCTTTCGGTTCGTTCGGCTGCAGGGCGCGCCGGGGAAGCGCCTCGCGCCAGATAGCTCTGAGCGCGCGGGTGCCCCGGGGGGCGGAGCTAGATGGACAGCCTCTAGCGCCGCCCCCGCGCTCTACATCTTGCGTCCCCTGGCTGTGTGTGTATTGGTTCCCTGTGAGAGTCGCGCTCCTTCCAGCCGCGCCGCCGATGCGGGCGCGTGGCTGTGTGTAAAGTACATGTCACGTTTTACGAGCGTCCACACACGAAATATCTAATATGCTCTATATTTCGTATTTGTGTGTCCGAAGTGATACGAGCGTCACTTTGTACCCACCCCCCCGACTTCGTGGGGACCCCCCCGCCGGTCGGTGGTCTGCCCCCGAGGTGGACCGGACCCCCCCTCCGGTCGGTCGCTCTCTCGGCGGCGGGAGGTGTGACGACCGACCCCCCCCTCGGTCGGTGTCCTTGCCGTCACCGGGCTCATCGGCTTCCGAGTCGCCCAAGCGACAGCGAATGGCAATCGATGGACGCCGCTTCTGGAGCAACTCAGTTAATCGCGACATGCTGCGCGTTGCGCGCGGGCAGAGCTATGCCGGCAACATGATCTGCCTCGCACCCGGTCTTCGCGTCTCCAAATTTCCCCTGGACCATGGATGCCACCGTGTGCGGTGTGACCCTCGAGCCAACCGCAACCCGACCGACCCCCCCCTCGGTCTGCGCTCCGACCGACCGGACCCCCCCCTCGGTCTGCGGTATTCCGCGGCCGCCGACCGGACCCCCCCTGCGGTCGGTCGGTCTGCGCTGGGCGCTCAAACCGCGAAGTCGGCCTGTTCACTACAAGATGACGCTCGTATGAAGCGAGCTCGAAGGAGATGATCGGCTCTCTCTACGAACATCGAACTCGCCAATTCTCCATCCCCGTCCATCGGGCTAGTTCCAATTCACTCTGACACGCTAATCTTGAAAACGCGTCCAACGGAGCTCCGTGTTGCTCCCAGCGGAATCACCCGCGCTTCCTGCGGCCATGGCCAATGATACTAGTATGAGAGGTCATCTGGCTACCGCGAGCGCGACTCAACTCGCCGACGTCGTCCGATGATTGTGCCTCAAAGTCAGCCTCCGGAGGCTATCGTGGGGTCGAGCCGGCGGTAGCCGTGACATGTGGTTCCACCACCCCTCGCAGGCTTTGCCTCTGACCGCGACCGTTCCCAGGCTGCCTAATGGGATGGAAAGGAAGGCTGGGCGAGCGTATAGAAGCGTGCTCGACCTTGTCGTGGCAGCCTGCACGGCAGCGCTGGCAGGCGCGATGAGCGTCGTGCCACCTGACCCAAGACGGGTCGCAGGCGTCGTACCGAGCGTGTCGAGACCGTGTCCTGATGTGATCTGCACGGGTGAGTCACGTCGGCGTCAAAGGAGCGACGTGCGACCTGTCAGAGCTTGATCTCCGATCTCAGCGGTGTCGAGTCGCCTTCGGTGGCGACAGCTAGGATGCATCTCCTCCTTCGTTTTTCGCGCTATGGCCCTGGGAAGCTGGCGGTGCACGCGGACGGACCTTGTGTGTGCACAGAACGCTTAAAACGTGGGTGCTCTATGTCACTTTTTTTGAGTAGATTTTGCGACTAGTCCATCCGCATCCCCCGCACACATCCGACTCCGAGTGCACCACGCGTCCCCGACTCCACTCCAAAACTTAAAAGTGCCTGGGAACGTTCAAAATTACAAATCTAGACGCCTAAACCGGACGCGGAACCATCCACATCATCACTGGCTCGCGGCAGTAAGGGCACTCTCGCATCAGCTCAGAGCATGGCCCGCAAGCGCACAAGTGCCCGCACGGAACCGCAGCATGCGACTTGACTCTCGCGAAACACACGATACACGTGGTCTCCCCCCCCATCGTGGACTCGGGGGCAGCCGGCCGCCCCGTGTCGAGGCCGGCGTCGGCTAGTGAGACGGCAGCAAGCGGCTCGGTGACTGGCAGATGCTGCTCCGCCGCCTCTCCCGCCTCCGGCTCGATCAAGCGCTCGATGGCGCCGACCCGCTCCTCGAAACTGCCCTCGGTCGCCGTGCCGAGGCTCGCCTCCAGCCGCTCGACACGCCGCACCAAGTCCCCGCCGCCGCCGGTCGACTCGCTGCTCACCGCCTCCTCGCACCGCGACACCCGACGCGCCAGCGCCTCCTCCTCCGCATCCGCCTCTGACCGGCGCAGCGCCTCTGCCAGCTCCGCATCCTCGCGCAGCGCCGCCCGCTCTGCCGCACCCGCTAGCTCTGCCGCCTCCCGCTGCGCCCGCCTCGCCGACTCCTGCTCAGCAGCCAGCCGCGCCGCCCTCTCCTCCTGTGCGCGATGCTCTGCCGCAGCCCGCGCCCTCCGCTCCTCCTCGAGCTTCAAGGCGGACGGCGCCTTCTTGGCCTTATTGTTCTTCGCCTTGGCCTCCTTCTTGGCCGCCGTTGCCTCCGCCGCCTTTGCGCGCCGCCTCGCCTTCTCCTCCTCCGCCCGCCTGTCCGCAGCCTCCTTCTCGCGCCGCGCCGCCTCTGCCTGAGCGGCTTTGCGCGCCGCCGCGGCCGCCCGCTGCTCCTCTCGCTGCGCCTCCTCCGCCGCAAGCCTCTCCGCCTCCCTCGCCCGCAGCGTCTCCTCTGCTGCCGCGCGCTCAGCGGCCAGCTTCGCCTCCGCCTCCGCCGCAATGGCTCTCCTCTGTTCCTCCAGCGCCGCCGCGTCCGCCGCCCGGCGCGCCTCGTCCGCCGCTCTCTCCGCCTCCCGCCTGCGTGCCGCCTGCTCGCGCTCTCGCGCCGCCGCCGCCTCCTCCCGCTCGCGCTGCTCGCGCCGCCCCTTGGCCTCGAGCGCCTTCTCGGCCGCCTTCTCCGCCGCCTGCGCCTCCCTCAGCGCCGCTGCGTGCTCTGTGAGAGCGCGCACGCACCCGGCGTGGTCCGCTTCGGGAGCACTGGCGGCGCCGGCAGTAGCTAGAACCTTGGCCGCCTCCTTCTTGGCGAGCTGCAGCGCGGACCTGCCGTCTGCAGCGCGAACCTTTGCATCTGCGCCAGCCCGAAGCAGGCGGAGCACGACGGTGGGGCAGCCGCTGCAGGCGGCGAGCATCAGCGCGGTGCTGCCGCTGCCGCTGCTCTGCAGGTTGACCTCAGCGCCGTGCTGCAGCAGCAGCTCGACCACCCGCTCGTGGCCGCTGCAGGCGGCGCTCATCAGCGCGTTGCCGCCGTCGCTGTTCAGCAGGTTGATCTCAGCGCCGCGCCGGAGCAGCAAGTCGACCACCCGCTCGTGGCCGTTGTCAGCGGCGTGCATCAGCGCGGTGAAGCCGACGCTGTCCTGCAGGTTGACCTCCGCGCCGTGCCGCAGCAGCAGCTCGACCACCCGCTCGTGACCGTGTGAGGCGGCGCTAATCAGCGCGGTGCAGCCGTTGCTGTCCTGCAGGTGGATCTCCGCGCCGTGCCGTATCAGCAGCTCGACCACCCGCTCGTGGCCGTGGGGGGGCGGCCATCAGCAGCGTGAGGCCGCTCACGCTGCCTCTCTCGTACGTCGCGTTGGCCCGCCCGCCGCCCTCGAGCCACGCCAGCACTGCCTCCTCCTCGCCTCGCTCCGCCGCTAGCACGGCCGCGTCGGAGCAGCTCAGGGACCCTGCGCAGCTGCTATGCGGGCGTGCACCCACCATCGCTGATCGCTGGGTTCGCTCTTTGGTGGGAGAATTCTTAAGATACAGCCCTTGTCGTGCCAGTGTGCTGTGAGAGAGGCTTGTATCTTAAGAATTCTTCACCTTTCTACCTTCTTAAGATACAAACCTCAAGCCTCTCTCACAGCACACTGGCACGACAAGGGCGCAGACTGGCGCGGACTGGTACACACACAGGCTCACCACCGGAGCCGCCTAAGCGACTCCGTTAAGAACGGCAATGCACTCCGCACCATGCACAATGCCGCTCTCCCCGCACGCTAGCTCGTTCACCGTCTGCCACGCCACGGCGGTGTGGAGGACGACAGACAAGCGCTGCATCTGCAGCCCGTGCCAGTTCTTGGTGGTCCATGTGACCTCGTCCAGGTGCTGAGCGTGCGAAAGTTTGTTGCTCAGCTGGTTCGCCGCCTCCCTCAGGGTGCTGCGAACCTCCTTTCCAAAGCCTCCGAAAGCCTCAAAATCAAACAAACGTAGATCGCAATCCTGCTGCCGCGCAAAGGGGTAATCGCCAGGCTGCTCCTTGAGCTTTCCCTTGGGGGCATCCTCCTCCTCCCCCTCCTCCCCCTCCTCCTCGGCCTCCTCCTCCTCCCCCGCCACCGCCGCTGCCGTCGCTTCCGACGGAGACCACTTGCCGCGCCCTTTGACCAACTTGAGCAGCCCGGTCTCCGTGTTGCCAAAGCGCACATAGGCCCCCTTCCAGCCGAGCCGAATTTCACCCTCTCCATCCTTGCCCTTCGGCGTGCCGCCGGTGCCGCTTCCTCGCCGATTTTTGGCTCGACCAGTTTGTCGACAAAGTTGCCTCCGAGCTCCTGCTGCTCGACTACGCGGCGGAACCGGCCCATCGCGGCTGAGACGTGATGCGCCGGCACCGGGGCAACGGCGCGGGACCATTTCCAGGCTCTCTCGAGCAACCTCAAATTTGGCCGATTTTGTGGATCTCAACCCTGCTGCTCTCTGACCACAACCTCGCGGCCCGCTGCGCGGCTCTCCGAGCGCGAGAGGAGTCGTCTACGAGGCGGCGGCGAGCGCAGGCGGCGGCGGCGCGGCGGCGCGGCGGCGGATCGCGGCGCAGACAACGGCAGCAATCTGGCTGCTGCTTGCTGCTGCAGCAGCTGCTGCTGCGGCTACTGCTCCGCTGCCGCTGATTGTGGCTACGATTCCCCCGATAACCCTGCCCGCCCGCTCCGCCCCGCCCGCCCGCCGCTCCCCGCTTGCTTGC